TATATTTTAAAACACTCAATTGAGATGAAATTTAATATGCATGCTTATTTTGGATGATAATATAATAATTTAAATATAATTAATAAAAATTATTTGATTAGAACTAATTATTTAATGAATTACAAATACAGCCACGTTGGCGACTTAGCAACCCTTTTGGCGACTTATGGCAAAACTTCAAAAGGTTTTTTTCTCACGTTTTAAAGCATTCAGTTGAACTGAAATTTTATATACATGATTGTTTTAGATGACAATACGATACTTTAATGATAATGAATAAAAAGTAATGAACACTTAATGTTGCGATTCTGTCTTATGTATATACATATTTATATTAATTGTAACTATTTAATATAAACAGTAGATAAAATAAAATTTTTCTTTGTTGTGATATAAGTAGGAATTTACTTATTTTTTTAAATATTACTTGCTTTTATTGAAACCAAAAAGAAAGCAATTTGAAGTGTGATCTATAATTTAAATTGAATTTTGTTATCCAATTAGCTAGATTTTGTATCTGTGGTTAGGAAATCATAAGAGTAATTAACGAAATCTATGCAACAAACCAAATATATATTTTTGTGATATTGTCTGTACAGTATGTAATAATCAAACGCATCATTTGATACGTATGTTGCCTCCTTTAAGATTGGTATTATATGTTCATAATAATTCAGTGTAAAAATGTATTAGATAATAAATTAAATTTTTCACGTTTATGTTTCGAATTTTTAAAAATCTCTAAGTCTCTTCTCCCCAAAATTGAGAATTCAACACAAAATTTTAAAGATTCTACAGAGTTTTCCACTATTTGGAGATAAAGAATTTTAAATCTCTGAAATTTCTGTCTATAAATTTGCCAATCGAAGAATATTCAGTAATGTTAAAAATATGAAATGAATTAATTTTTCCTCAATTTTGAATACTCATTAAACTTTATAATAAGCTAAATAACGAGAACAACTAATTCAGGAAAGAAACAGTGCAAAAAAAAAAAAATGTTTATGTTTTATTATTGTTAGTGCATTATATGTTTGACTTAAGGTAACCGACTACTTGCGACAACTTTTTTTGGAAAAAAAATAAAGATATGGGGATTTTTTTTTTCTTGTGATTTTTAGATTTATTTATTATATTTTAAGGAAAAAAAATCCTAAAATTGTAAACAGGAAAAAAAGTGCTATTAAAATGGGAAAAAAGTGGTGAAAATGTACAAAAAATTACATAAACGGGACTCGTTCTGTACAAAAAATTTATGAACAAATTCTCAAATTTTCACTTTTGATGTGTTTTTTTTTTTTTTGTTATTCATGTTTAAAATGACCTTCAGGATAAAAGATATTACAATTTTTACAAAAACTAGAGTACTTTACCTTGGTGATTATATGAAATTGCTTAAAAACCAAGGATTATATTCAAATAAAGGACTATAATTTTTGAAATGAAACAGTGATTGATAAATATGAAAGTCAAAATACTTCTATTGTTATACAAAATATACACAAAACATTTCAGTGGATTATTTTCAAAGCTTTTTGAGGAATCACTGTCACCATTTGAGCTTATCGAAAAAAAACACATTTCGATTAAAATGCATTTTAAAGTTTCACATCTTGTGTAAATTTATGGCATCCGCTTTTACTAAAACACTTGTAGTCTTTGTTCTAATGAATGGAAAATAAAAAAACTTGAAATTTTCGTTAAGGTATCCTACTACGTTCGGAACCATGATTTTGCAAAAGCGTGTAAATGGATAATATTTATGATATTTAGCGTCACTTAGATTAGACAATGTATATAAAATTAGGTTAAGAATAGTATTACAATAAAAAATTATTTAAGTACAATATTTTGACAAAAAATTAACTTAGAATAACCTTTTTTCCAAATGACCTCCTTTTGTAAGAAATGCTTCTATTGTATTAATATTTTGCTTATATTCAGCTCAAACCTCTGTACAGAGGATCAACTAGAATTTTTGAAACTCATAACTTGGAAGTCGGTTTCTCCATGTTTTACGAAAACAGAAGGGAGAAATTTTAAGAAAATACGCCGATAAGTATTTCAAATAGTTGTAACTCTGAAAATAACGTGAATTTTTCAAAAATCATAGTTGGACCTCTGTACACAGGTCTGAGCTATATACAGGCAAACTATTAATACAATAGAAGCACTTTTTACAAAAGAATAACATTTGGAAAAAAAAGTTATTCTAAGTTAATTTTTTGCCAAAATATTGTATTTAAATAAATTGTTTTGTCATAATGTCCTTAAAACAATTTTATACATGTGTTCTAATCTAAGTGACACGAAATAACATGAAAATTATCCTTTTTATGCGCTTTTTTAAAATCATGGTTCCGAATGTAGTCGGATACCCTAAGCTAATAAGATTGCATATAAAATAAAATCATAAAACAAATTATCAATTTTTTTAAAAAAAATCAAAACTTTAGGATAGTCGGATACCTTAAATAGCACGAAAAAAGCGAAGTTGTAACACTTAAAAGTAAAGCACAGGTAATAAATGAAATTAAATTGACTACATTTATTCATTATATTTCTCTCAACTCCTTTTACGTCACCGAAACTCTCAATATTATATGCTTTTGATTTCCAATACAAACAGTGTTTCACCAATAGTGACTGACATATCCATCTCATGGATGCGCGTGGAAGCTATACTTTTTTGATTGACATGTATATTTTATTCATTCCGTAGCCAGAAGAAATTATTTCAATCCTGCTGCCTAATTTAGTCAATTAAATGTATTAAGATTTCTGTTATTTTTTTTTTTGCGTTGAATAGTTGTTGTTCTACGTCGAAACAAAGTAAGAAAATGGAATTTCCGTAAATGGTGGCGTTTAACGCGCATCTATACTTCAAAGATGAATTTTTTTAATTTTTAGGTATATTCGTCGTATAACGCGCGCACTCCGTTTTTTTTAAGATAAAACTTATATGTGTAATGCTATGATGTTTTGAAATCATTTATTCAAAGTATTATTCCAAGATTTTAAAAAAATCGTATTCTTTCAGAACTATAACCCTATCAGTCCATTATGTATGCAATTTCTTTTAAATAAGCAATATTCTTGTACCGTAAAATCCAGCCTATAACGCGCACCTATACTTTAGAGCTGAAATTTTTAATTTTTAGGTATATTCGGCGTATAACACGCACCCCCTTTCTTACAAAGAAACCGGAACTGTACACATTTAAAGCTTATGTTTTAAAGTCATTTATTCGAGGTAATATGTTAGGCTTTTGAAAAAACAAAATATACTTCTAGAAATACAACCCTTTAAGTTCATAAGAAATGTCTCTCTCATTTCTGTTAAATAAATAGTATTTCAATACATATAGAAGTCTAGTTTTTTTCTCTATGCTCACCTTTTTTTCATTTTTAAAACTCTCATTTTTATACCCGGCGTATAACGCGCACCCTTAAATTTCGATCTTATTTTTTGAGTTAAAAGTGAGCGTTATACGCCGGATTTTACGGTATATGTTAAAGTCTAATGTTTTCAATAATCATCTGTTTTTTTTTCCTTTTTGAAATTATTTTTAGGCCTGATGTATAATGCGTTCCCGTAAATTCCGATCTTATTTTTGATGTTAAAAGCGCCCGTTATACGCCGGATTTCACGGTATGAGCTTCCGAATTATTATGAAATATCTCTGCAGACCAATGAGGTTTACAAAAAAACCCCGCTTGTTTCCTAAATTTTGAAGACACTATAAAGGAGGAGAAAAGATGAATAAATGTGACTTTTTTTATAACTTAAAAATAATTTATAGCGGTTTTTGATTTAGCAAACATTTTGATTAATGCATTGAGTTTTTGCGACAGAAACATTAAAATTAGATAAATGATGCATATTAAGAAAACTCAGTGAATAGATATTTAAAAATATTGAGATATTGAATATTCTATACAATTGTAGAAGAAAGCTTTATTTAAAAATACAGTTTAAATTTGTCACTTTAGGAGTGATTTTTCTTTTTATGTTGATGATTATAATTTATTGAAACACGTTAAAATCTAATAAAAATACTATTAAAATGACTTTTTTTGTATTTAAATTAAAAGTGTAAATTAACAAGAATTCGTTCAATTTATGTGTGCATAAAGTTATTTTCAGCACCAGATTAAATAATTTTTGATTGAAACATAATCATGAAACAGTGCGTTATTTCCCACACACACACACAAAGTAGCCACCTCACATCTAATCATGTTTCATAAAACGTTGCGATAAAGAGAAAACTGTTTCTTGATCTAAATGTTTTGAAACAGAACGTAAAGCTTTATAAAAATATATGTTTACTTGATTTCGTAGTAATCCCTTTTTAATTTATAACAGTATTATTTCTTTAAATATGAAATAAAAATCATATTCTTTCAAGAAATTAAAATAAATTATGTATAGTAAAATTTAATTTATTAAAAATATAATTAATGTTTGTAAATATTGTAGTAGAAATTTTAGGCTTTGTCCTTTAAAAACCTATTATGCATTTATTTTAAAAGTACATTATTATAAGAAAAATGTATCTGCTAAACATTTGAGTAGATGAGATGAATTATACTTATTTTGAATAAAAAATTTTTCATATGTGTATTTTTCGCTTTCTTTTACATTTAATTTATTTTGCTGAAACATTATTAGCTCTAAAATGTTAATGTCTTATGCCTAAACTACAAAAATATTTTTACTCCTGAAATAAAACAAATACATACATATAAAAAAAAATAAGTCAATTACTACTTCAGTCAACAAAGATTTTATTTATATATAATTAAATTTTATAAAATAGTTACAATCAATATAATTATGTATATACATATGACAAAATCGCAATATTAAGTGACAATTTTCCTTTCTATATATGGTGTTGGATTTTTTTGTTTGTTACCGTTTATTCATTTATATTAAACTTAATAATTCTTATAAAATAGTATAAAAAAATAAATCACATTCTCAGACATAAGTCCATTCCAAGTGGGATTTGAACCCACAACCTTTGAATTAGAAGTCCAACGCGCTATCCAGTGCTCTGTAAGAACACAACCCGAACGAATTTCTTTTTTATATATGCTGTAGAAAAATTATTTTTGTTTGTTACCACTTACTCATTTTTTAATTTAATTAATGAATTAAAATGTTTGAAAAAACTGTTTTAGCATCATATTATCCCCTATAAGTTTAAAAAATTGGATTTGAACTCAAATTGATGAATAGAAAGTATTTTATTAAAGATTGTAAATTTGAACAAGATATATATATATATATAGGAAGAGAATGAACTAATAGTAAGAATTGGAAAAGCATGATTGCAATCTGTACTTTATATTTCTTGTTCCACGCAGTACTTCGAATTTTTTTTATAAATACATTGCTTACTGTGCAATAAAGATTATGTTCATTACAACATAAAAGTCGTATTAACCAAATGCATGTTTTTCGCTAGAAACTTACTGTACCATTCAAATTATAGTTATATTTATACGGATATGTAAACTTCACGAAAGAATAGTTAACTAAATAATCTATAGTAACTCCAGGGATGGAAAAACATTGTTATTTGCGATAAGAAATTGCGCGTTTACTAATTAATGTTTCGTTAATTATTGCTCCAGACAAGTATATAACTTTTTATATTGTATCCAATGATGTACGGATAGTTTAGTAAATCACTTAAAACAACGATACCCAGAGAATCGTGATTATAAGTTATGATAAACAAAATTTCTTCGCTTCGAAATAATGATTTTTATGTTCCTTACTCTAGCTAATTATTGTTATTGCAGACTATTAGCTAACTTTTTATCCTTAAAACTAGTTAATTATTCATATTCCCAAATAATATTTTATAAAAGCTTATAATGAATCTAATGGTAAAACAGAATTAATATTAAAAACTAATTGTTAATTGTTATAAGTGTAATAAAATATTTCACTCTCCCCTAGAGTAAAGTAATTATCAGCATTTTCCAATTGTAAAAAGTTGGCAAATATCCTGTTTGTACAATAGCATTTTTTGTGATAACATATTTCTTTTCATTTCTAGTCAAAAATTAGACGTGTGATTTATTCAGATATCAATCAGCCTTAGAAAAAGCTATTTTTTTTAATTCATATTTTTACGAATTTTGTGCAAAACACTGCAAAAAAGTTGTATTTGGTTGTGTAAAGCATTTATATTTTTTTATGTTACATTTGTTTAATATTAAAAGTGTAATATTTGCAAGCAACGCCGTTGCTTACATTATAATGGGGATTTAATGGGGACTTGTCGAAGTTATGGCGATAGAACCAAGTTGGCATCATTTTTGGCGACTATTTTTCCAACTTGGCGATATTTCTGGTGACCATTTTGGTGAGATAGGGACCCTCTGAATTCTTCTAGAAATTTGTGAAAAAATATTCTTATTTCAAGATCTACGACGGAAGTGGATCTTTTTCGAAAGGTCCACGAGGACTATTCATAGAGAAATGCTCACCAAAAATCAGTTAGTATGGTTTTGACCAGCGATTTATCAGTATTGTTTTGACTAGTGATTAATAGTATTGCCTTCACCTCTGAAGCAATTAGTTGTTACTTCGGCTCTTGAATGAGCGTTGCTTGTGAAAAATATTTCACATACCTGCATTTTAGACACTGATATTGTGTCTGAGCGCTGTAAAAGGTGTGAAATCGTTCTGAACCTGTATTTCAAGGATTGTATTTTCGACAATAAATTCTCATCGTTTTTAAAGAACTGTCTTGTTTTTTGCGACTGATTTCCATAAAATCCTCGGAACCCGGATATACGCAACAATATTTTAGAAAAGTATAATAATATTCTGCGCAAATTTTATGGACATACAGTATAAACAAGTAATATAAAAAAAATTAAGTCAACTCCTACTTTAAATGGATGAATAGAAAGTATTTTATTAACGATTGAAAATTTGAATAAGATATGTATATAAATAAATATATATAGGGAGAGAGTGAAGTAATAATAGGAAATGAAAAAAGAGCATGATTGGTCTGCATTGTTATAACAATGCACACCCGGCTTGGTTAGTTTGGCTGAAAAATAGGTTTTCGAAGCCAACTTTTGTCTTTGTTTTAACAGTTACATTGTTATAACAATAGAGATCAATCTAAGTTGGCGTCAAAAATCGGTAATTAATTTAATTAAATTTAATTAATAATTGAAAAACTGTATTAACATCAAGTGTCATCCACTACAAGTTTAAATAAAGTATTTGAACTTGATCGGATGAATAGAAAGAAGTATTTTATTAACAATTAAATATTTGAACAAGATAAATAATATAATTAAATATATAGAGAGAGTGAGCTAAGAGTAGGAATAGAAAAAAGGGTCGTAAATCACAGCTAAACAATATAATAACCTGCAAATAAAATAAACATATAAAAATGATAACCAGTGAATGAATATACAATTCATGATTGAGTAAAGAAAAACTGTTTTTTATGGTATGATTTTCATTGTAATAAAAAAAAAATATTATTTTAGTATTCTGGCTAACATATCTTACTTTTTCCTTGATAGAATATCTTCTTCAATTCATGTTCGTCCTCTGATTTTCAAAGTTTCTTCTCGTATTTAAACTGACAAAACATAAACGGGGTGAGTGAGTGAGTGAATATCAACGTCGCACTGTTCAGCTACACGAAACATAAACGAGGATACAACTTTCAACTGTTCTGCTATTTCTATACTGAATAGGAAATAAATAACTACTTTAATGTTGCATTTACAGTTTGTTTGTCCTCTTTTATGCAGTTCTGGCAAGAGAAGGAAGAAGTATATATGGACAATCATCAGCTAAATTTCAGGAATCGGAGAAAGCAAACAAATATTGAATTCGCTTGAAATATTCTCTCCTCATCCGTGTATGAACACATGTAGAGGTGCAAGTCATTCCCCAATGTGATTTAGAGAGGCATTTTGGTACCGAAATTAGTTTGTCAGTAACACCATTATGGACTGTGGGATAGATTAGAGAAAGAGCAAAAAGGAGAAAATTATGTTAATTGAGTGTTTGCTGAATCCCTCTTGTTACTAAATGAGAATACAATTTTATTTTTACTGATCATGTGTTTGGTACAGAATATTATTTGATGAAAATTGTCTCGCCTAGTTATGTCGTTTATGCATTTATAAATGTTACTAAAGAATGTATACATAGTAAAGTATGTATCGGATATCTTTCTTTAGTTGAGTAAATTTACATTAAAGAATATTTTAACATGAGAGCCGGGGAATGTGCTTAATTTCTTACAAAGTGTTACATTTTGTTCAAGACTAATTGGAAAAAAAGATAGTTCGTTCTGCTAAATGAATATATACATGTTACTCATTATTTTCAATCTTAATTAAAACATTCTATCACTCCTTTACTTTTTATTTAGCTTTCATACATATTCACATGTAAAAACTCGACAGCTAGGTTCAACGGAAAAAATAATCCAACTTTTGAATTTCACTTCATTTCAAATGCGTTTCGCCGCCTGGGTGGCGTAGTTGGTTTGTCGCAGGCCTTCTGTACCCTAAGGTTGCAAGTTCGTCCCCGGCCTATGTTGGTGGATTTTAATGATGCAGAAAATCGACAGCATCTGTGTTGAAAGATTATGTGGCATGTAAAAAAACACGCTTGTTTGGCTTGGGTGTTCTCGGCAAAATTAGATTCCTAAGAACAATTTCGCAACGTCAGAGCTGTGATGCATCCCTCTGGGGAGGAAACTGGTCGTCAAAATTACTTGCGGCAGTTGGTATCGACTACATGGTGCCATTCTAAAAAGTAATACCAGCTCCTGGGGAATATACTAGGTCTGGAAATATAAAAATACCAATTCGCAGCCCCAGTCGGAAAAAAAATTCTTTCTGTTTGTAACTTGAACTAAGATATGAATTAGCAGCAATTGAAATTAACATACAATTCTACTTGGATGCCATAATCTTTTGAGTTGTCTGTTGGAGATTAATAATTCTGAGCGGTTCGAAAACTATCTCGTTGGTTATAGAACCTGATAATGGATTCAGTGTTTGTACATGGGGAAATATGTGTGAATAACTATAATTCATTAACCGAGTTTAAATATAATAGCTTATAATTTGATATATATTGGCATGGGAAAATTTTTTGGCACATACACACTGTGAAAAATTTGGTCGTTTTGTGTAGATACATGTGTTGTCCATTGCGTTGAACCGACCTAGATTGAAAGTAACCGAGACCTCAAAGACAACCATTAATGTGACTACATATCTCAACCAAGAATAGACTCCTGCATTATGCGCAGTTTATAAGGCTACTAAACATAGAAGGAATGCATGAACAGGGAGGGGAAATGAATACAATACGATTTGTTATTCGATATTCAGTGAGTTCTTTAAGAATGCATTAGTACGGTCAATGATCATTGGACGTTGGCAAATGTTAAACATGAAAACAGATTTTATTTAGAATAGGAGATAATAGCTAAAAAACCATTATACATGCAAAAAAGAAATTAATATTATTGTAGATCATTTATCAGATGAAATTGCAATATAAAATTACCAAGCTTTATATTTCTTCGTGATCCGTAATATGAAATACTATACCAGATATGAAAAATGTAATTATTAAATTAGCATGGAGGAATACAGATTCAAGATGCCTGCTAGTGGGAGATGCCAAGTTATAGGACTAACATACGATATTTTGTGTGAAAGAACTGTTTGCAATAAAAGAAAAACTCAAGATGCAAAATTCGAGTGTGATTTATAGTGAACTTGAAAGAAAAAAAATCCTTATACTATAATATAATTAAAGAATATCTATTCCTGGCAGTTGATGAATTATCTGCATTTTTCAACTAAAACGATCCATTTCAATCTGTCCTTTTGAATAGTCGCATGATTTATGATTCGAAGCATTAAACTGTCACGACATATTCACGAAATAATAAATATTCCTCAAACACACACACACAAGAAACGCAAAATAATTCCCAAATACGCAATACATTGTTTCTATAAATTGATAAATATATATAGGAAAA